CCGAGCTCGACTGCATCCTCGCGCTCGCGACTGCCGCCATTGAGCACAAGCTCGTCCGCCCACGCGTCGTCGATGGCGCGCAGCTCGACCTCAAGGGTGCGTGGCACCCTCTTTTGCACGCGGCGCAGCAGCTTGTGCCGAACGACTGCCGCCTCTGCGCTCCGGGCGAGCCCGAGGCGGCGGATCGGATGCTGCTGCTGACGGGGCCAAACGCGAGTGGCAAGACAGTCTACCTTCGCATGGTTGGAATCACCTGCTTCCTGGCGCACATTGGGTCGTTTGTGCCCGCCGAATCGGCGACGGTCGGCCTCACGGATGCGATCTTCACGAGGATGGTGTCGCGCGAGTCGACGCTCGCAAACGCCTCCGCCTTCATGGTCAGAGCCAATGCACAGAGATGGATGCGGGGTCGAGCGGGGTGCCTCCACCGATGCAACTTTGAGTAGGCTGACCTGACGCAGATGAGCAACATGATGCGCCACTCCACCCGCCGTTCACTCTGCCTCGTCGACGAGTTTGGAAAGGGGACCAATGCGCAGGACGGCATCTCCTTCCTGTACGCGTGCCTGCGCCACTTCCTCGACCGCGGCCGCGAGTGCCCCCGCCTGCTCGCGTGCACGCACTACACGGAGCTGCTCGAGCTGCCCGAGCTGGTCGACCGACCGGGCCTCAGCCTCTGGACGATGCAGGCGAGTGTAGACAGCTGTCGCCACCAACGCCGACGCTGCCGCCGCAGCCCGCTCCGCCGCCATTCTCACCCTCGCAGACGAAGCACAGCGGAGCTTGCGACGAGAGGACGCCGCGCAGAGATGCACAGTCAGGCGACGAGTCACCGTGTCAGGCTGTCAGCCCACGCCTCTTTGTCCGCCGCTGGCTCTCAGGTCATGCTCGAGAAGAAGACCGAGGCGGACGACACGCTCGACGACGTCATCTTCCTCTACCGCGCCATCCCCGGCCGGTCCGAGGGCTCCTTCGCGTACCACTGCGCGGCGGCGGCCAACGTGCCCCGCGCCGTCATCGACCGCGCGGTGCAGGTCTCGCGCCTCCGCGACGCGGGCGAGCCCGTCCACGCGATGGACCGCTCCGAGGCGGACGCCGCCTCCGAGCGGCGCCCCAGCTGCCTCTTGGGCGAGGCACCGTGGTGATCCGTCCACGACGCGTCCGCGACGTGTCGTTATGTAGGCGCCGCCTCGCCGCCCGGGACGAGCTCCTCAGTGGCTTCCTCGAGTTTGACTTCCGCACGCGCCGCGCCGGCGAGTTTTACGTGGCTCACGCCGCGTGCGTGGACACGCTGCGCCAGCCGGCCACCGCGCGCGCCGGCGGCGCCTTCTGCTGAGGATGGAACGGATGAATGTGGGGTGCTTGTGGTGGGCATTCATGCGGACGGGAGGGAGGAAGGGAGTCCACAGCGGGCGAGAGCGCGGCGATTTGGTTCGCCGAGCCCCCCGAGACCGTCGTGTGAGTGCCCCGCCCCGAGCGAGACTGTCTGTCGTGCGCGCTAGGGTGCGCGCACAATCAATCGCCGATCCCCTTTCTTCCTTGCCTGGCCGAGCTGCATAGTAGTGCGTAGTGTTGTAGAGTCTTTCCAAAAGAGGTCCTGTTTTTCTTGCGCAGCACTACAATGACATCAGCCAACGGTGTGGCGATGTCGCGCGCATCTACGCGGTGCGTGCACAAGACAAGGAGTGCACAAGACAAGGAGTTTGGCCTCTGCCACACGTACGAGCTTGGCCGCTTCTGTCCGTCCATGCTGCCGTCGGCGCAGCGCATCCCGCCTATTGGCGACCTCTTCACGCAG